AAACGTGTGAGGGGTGTGGGAGGGGGGAGGAGGAAGGAACCGTCTCTTCAAAACGAGGACCCAACACCACAAGATGGTTGATAACAAAACGAGAACGAAACACATTGTCGTGCTCGCCTATATATATATATATATATATATATATATATGTATACATATATTGTTTCGCCGATCGGCGCGGGCCCTCGTACCCCCCTTCCCCCCCCCGTGGAGTACATCTTGGCTGTTTTTTGACACCCGTTTCGGGCGGGTGGAGTCTCCTCCAGAGGACACGCGGTCCCAAACAGTCGCAGTAAGCAGAGGTCTGGGGCCAGAGACCCCCCCTCCCCCCCCTCCCCCCAATGTCGAAACGAAACGCCGAATAAAACAGCGCTCGCGTTTTGGCCGAGCCCTGCCAGGGCCGTCGCATATTGCTCCTGCTCGAGAGATTCGGAGGGAGGAGAAGCGGTACCAACACCACCAGGGGGCCCACCTCCAGCGAGGAGGTCCACGATGCCTCCCCGAGCTGGAGGCCGGGGATGTCTCGAGCGAGAGGGGGGGACCGCACCACCAGGGAGACCCCCAATTTGCTCCTCGCATCTCCTCGCCTTGCTGGTGTTGGTGTCGCCTTTCCTTGTTCCTAGAGAGATGGCACCGTCGGGTGTCTGTCTTGGGCAAGGCCGCAGGCCGGGTCACCGCCGAGGGCGCGTGGCGCCCGCCCCGCCCGCGCCCAGACGACGACGACGACGACGACGACGACGACGACGACGACGACGACGACGACGACGACGTCGACGACGACGACGTCGACGGCGACGACGACGACGACGGCGAAGAGGACGAGGACGAGGACGAGGACGAGGACGAGGACGACAGCGAGTCGCCGGTGGGCTTAGCCGATCGCAGGCGACCCTGCTGCCGGGCCTGGCGGCCCCTGAGGCGGCCGGTGCGGGCGGCCCCGGGCTTTCGGCGGAGGACCCGCGGGCCCACGGCTGCGCACCTTGGCTAGGGACCTCGGGCCGAACGAAAGGGGGGGAAAGGGAGCCCTGACCTTTCAGGAGGGCAAAAAAGTTGCACCAGGTTATCGATGTTCTCATTCCTGTCGAGGTTTGAGGCAGTCCAGATAGATCTATAGGTCTGGAGTGTTATCTTTTAGGCACTCTGGAAGGTCAGGTAAAAGGGGGGGGTACGAAATCTGCTGCGTGCAGCTGGTTTCGGCCCCGCCGCCGGGTCCATTCCTCGATGCGTGGGCGCTTCCTGGCGCCAGGAGGCGCTGGGAAAATCAGCTACGTGAGCTGATCATCTACCCTACCCTTTGCCATCCCCCCCGTTTGTTCCCCCCGAGATTCGAAGGAGGGGAGCCCTGAGATCCTGGCGACTTCTTGTTTTCGAGCCAGGCGTGTTCGCCAGGTTTCGGGCCGGGGGCCACTGCAGATCCCGACCCGGCTCGCAAAATGGCTCCTGCAGATGGTGTCTGGGGCTCAGGTGGCGATTCTTCGCCACGTTTAATGTTGTTTCCCGCGCAGTCAGATCTCAGGGACGGAGGAAAAAGGTACCGATGCCCATATGGGGCGTTCCAAAAAGGGCCTTGCCTCCGAAGATCGAAGAAGTTGTAATTGCTTCCGCCGCGGAAGGCGGCGGAAGGTCGGCGGAAGTAAAACGAGGCCGCTTCCGCCAGCGGAAGCCGGCGGAAGCTCGGCAGACGGCGGCGGAAGAAACAAAAAAAAAACGCCCCCAAAGGAACGAACACGTTTTTGGGCTCAGGGTTTCCGAAATCGCCCATATCCTTCCCTCGAGTTCGCCTTCTTGGGCCCCCCGGGAGGCCCTCGTGGCAACGGCTGCCTTCGCTGCGAGGTTCTGCGCGGAGGGCGCCCCGGGAGAGGTCGGGGCGGGAGCGGCTGCATCGGCATGTCTCTTGGCTTCGCGCAGAAACCTGCGCGTCGTGAGTAGGAATCGCGACGGGGCGTTGTGAGCAATTTCCCCCGCCCCCCGCCCCCCTTGAAAAACCGGTCTTTGGGGAAAGGGTCCTGACCTCTGGGGGCCCGCGCTGAGATTAAGTCGTGATGTCAGGGGTCCGAGTCCTGCGATGTCTGCTGCTCAATCGATGCGTATCTCCCCCTCTGGTTTCTGGCACCCCAGGACACTCGGAAGGAACATTGGGTCGGGCCTGCCCCTCTGCAGAAGGAATGTTCCAAAATAGCCAGAACGTCGTCAGGGGACGATTTCTGCCATTTTTGGCTAGTTTGGGGTATCGTTTGACGATGTTTTTAATCCCTCGGCCAAAATAGGGGGACACGCCCGACCTAAGAGTACCAAGAAGTCGGCTGCACGTGACGTGGCCAGCAAGGGCGCATCTTCGCACGGCCGCACGCCTCTCCAGCGCCTGGCGGTCTGACTGGGCCCGGGGGCCCCGGCCCGCCGCACGCGTATCCAGCCTGTGGCGGCTCTGCGCGCACGAAATGGGTACTGAAAGAATGGGTACGATGCCCAACAGCGGATCTTGTGCATTCTGGACAGGATTCGCTGTCCACGCCGCCGCGGCCTGTGTTCATTTGAGACAGGAGGCCGCCAGCCCAACAGCGGCCGCTGTTGGCTCGGGACAACATTTGCTGTTGGGCATCGTACCCATTTTTGTCGGTACCCATGTCGGGCGTCCAAAGCAGCTGCACGTTCCACATGTGCGTCATGTTGTCGTTTTAGTGTTCAGTCGGGCCTGCCCCTCTACACAGGGAGTCCTCAGAAACAGTTGAAAATAGTCTGGGGACGATTGTGGACCATCCTTGAGCGCTTTGGGAGTAGATGTTGATATTCGCTTTTCCTCCAACATCCGCCTGTAGGGGGACATGCCCGACCTAATTTTCATGTTCCACATGTGAATCCAGCCATGTGTGTGTGTGCTCCAGCCTCCCGGAGCTTCTGCGGCAGGTGTCCGATCAAAAGGTCCGCAGATGGTGGGGCCCCGCATCTGAAAGCTGGCAAACCATCGCGGGAGCGGCGGACGCAAGTCAGCACGTTGTCGAGGGAGAGAGGAGAGCAGTGTGCGCAGCAGGCTGGGCGCGCTCGCGCCTTGTCTGACACCCCGCCGCTCCCGCCCAGCCCTTGCCTTCCCACTGTGCGATCTGCTGCGGACTTGGAGCCCTGAGAAGGACCCGTAGCGTCGGCAGTCAGAAGACGGGGGCTGCATAGGTTAAGAGGAGGACGGGGTGGAGGTGGAGCAAGGGCACGATGATGGAAAGCACGATGAATGTGACGGAGGAGGAGGAGGACGACAAGGAAAAGCAGCAGCAGCAGGGGCAGAAGTGGAAGGAGCAGGAGGAGCAAGAGTACCAGTGGAAGGCGGAGGAGGGGAGAGGAACGGGGCGACAACGACGAGGAAGACCCCGGGTCCAGAACCGTGGCGGGCGGACGTCGGAGAGCGTCCGCATCCGTGAGCCCGCGCTTGCAGACCCCGCGTTTTTTTTGTGTTGTGATGGGCCCGTCGGTTCAGGGAAGGGCAGAGACTGGGTAGTCGAAGGCCAGACTGTCAGACTGGATTGGGCCCCGAGGGCCCATCTGGCCTGGCCATACTGGAGGATTTGGGTTCTTCGCCAGACTGGATTCGCGTTGGCTCCCTCGCCAGATTGCCCCCGTTTGCCAGATTGGGCCTGCCAGATTGGCGCCAGATTGGCTACGACTACCCAGAGAGAGGGAAGGTATGGCGATGCGCGCCCTCCCAAGCTCTGTGCGGCCCCGCTCGGGGCACGACGAGCCTTCCAGTGGTCACTCGCCGCCAGGGCCCCGGGCGCCTGCTCGTCAGATGCGGCGCGGCCACGTGCGGCGGTGCGTGGCAAGTGGGTGCGGCAGGCTTCACGCCGCCTCAGCACTTCGGAGAGGCCACCTTGGGAGGGGGTGGTGCGTGAGGGGCCTTTGGGCTGAACTCGACGCAATCAACAGCGCAGCGTGCATACGCCAGATTCGGTCGACATCCTCTTTGGGCATCGAGGAGCCGAGAGCCTTTGAACGTTGAGCTCCTCTCTCCTCCTCTGTCCTCCTCTTCCTCCTCCTCCTCCTCCTCGTCCGTCTCCTCCTCCTCCCCCTCATCCTCATCCTCCTGCGTCCCTGCTGTTGCAGACACCACATCATGTCATGAACGTGACCTGGTGTCAGCCCACATGTGGCCCTACCATAAAAGGGTTGCGGCGCACAAACTCATGATCAAAACAGAGAAAGCCACGGCATTGGTGTTCTGAACCGCTGGACTTCGGCTGTGCCAGCAGCGTGCCTCTGGACAACGGCATCATGTGGAGCGCCCGCCATCCTTGGCAGAACGTTGACATGCTGACCATGATCACAGCTCAGGCATTCCAATGTAGGCGGAGTAAACCTAGCCTGCCTCATCGTTACAACACGTATCGCCACCCCTACGCTTCCCTCTTCCCCATCCTCCTCTGGCTTCTTCTGCGCGTCCCGTTTTCTCATCGCCTACCTTGATGTAGCCACTTGGCTCGAGGCCCTTAAAGTTATACCAGTTTGTCCGCACGATCCTGCACCAATGGCAGAAAGTACGGACGCATCACACGAGGTGGATGCCTTGCGTAAAGAACTCGAGGATGCGCGCGCAGAAATCAAGCGCTTGAACGCACAGCTGACCAAGAAGCGGCGACGAACGGACGTGTGGCAATCCTTGGAGGAGTTCAGAGAGGTCCTCCTGGAGCGCGTAGACTTGAAGTCCCTGCAGCAGCAGATCCCGGTGGTGCACCAGAGGAAGCGGCAGGCGCTCTGTGCGGCCCTGCCCTTCGCATCGTTGCCCCTCGCGTACGTCCTGACGCTGCTCCTGGCCTGGCTCGCGGTGTTCTGGGACTCCACGGGGCTGGTGATGGCAGGGCTGGCCGTCTACGCAGTGCACATCCTCACGGACAGGAGCTCGGAGAGGGGCGGCAAGGCCAAAGCTTGGATGAGAGGTCACGCGGTCTGGCGGAGCATGGCCGAGTACTTCCCAGTGAAACTCCGCAAGATGAATCCAGATTCCCAGTTTCCTCCGGATGCGATATACTTGTCATTGACGCTTGCGCCACGCCGCCGACCTTCCCCTCTGCGAGGCCCGGGGGCCTAGGCTCTTATCTTCAGGGGGGCCTGATGGCGCCGAGGCGAGGATCCCGAAAGGGCTTCTGGCAGCTGCGGCCATCTTGCGGCCGTGGGGCCGCTTTGGGGCCATATCGGCCCACATCTGAGCTGCTTCTAGGTCCACATAGGGCCGCTTTGGGGACGCATTGGCGCCTGTTTCGGTTCATTTTTGGTCACTTAGGCGTGCGTTGGGCCGTTCTGGAGCAGCATTGGGGGGGGCCTATTGAGCCATCCGGGGGGAACAGTCTTGCAGCAACCGTGTGCTGGCTGACCGCAGAGAATCAAGGAAACACCATGCTAACAACACAGCACATCTCATCCACGTCCCCGCCCTTGCCGTCGTGCCCCTGTTTAGACGCAGATGTGGCCCCGTATCTCCTTTGTTGGAGACTGCCTCTTCTCACGCATCAATGCTCGTGCCCGATGTGGGATGAGTAAGTCTTTGGATCTAAACTTTCCGAAGGTCAAGTTTTGGAATCCCGCGTGGTGTAGGGCGCGTCAGTCAGCCAGGCCTCAGACCCACGTCGCGATTTGTTTCGCAACGTGGACCCCCAGAGGTCTGGCCCGTTTCCCCGCGTTCCATCGTGAGCTGCTGTGTTGACGTGCCCATGGCCCCGCCAGGGCTCACAGAGGAAGAGAAGGTTGAAAGAACATCCCGCCGCTCTTGTGTTCCACCACGGCAGGAGGTCCGGGTCTTCAGACGCACGCGACTTGCATGGCTCGAGGGGGGGGCGGCGTCGAGGCGTGTTTGCGCTTGCTGCTGGTGTGCGAAGCCCTTTGGAAGTTGCCGACAGAACGGCGGGTCGGGGATGGTACCCTCGGCATCCTCCCCCCCCCCGTCGGCGGCGAGCCCGTGTTGAAAGCCAGCGGGGGCAGGCCCTCTTGAAAGGTGGTGGGGCCTCAGGAGGTCCCTGTCGCCTTCTGAGAAGCCTTGCGCGTCCTCTCCGAAGCCAAAGAGGAGGCTTCCCAGAAGGCGCGAAGGCTTCTGGGGAGCCCCGCCTTCAGAGAACGCCTGCCCAATATCACTTCCCCCTGGGCTCGCCGCGGACCTGTCTCTCGTCGCCGCCAGTTAGCGGCGCGTCACAGGTCACGGCCCTCGCATGTTTCCCTGTATTTTCGCCGGAGGAGGAGCGCCTCCTCTAAGTGGAGCCACGCCCGCGTGGGAATGTAGAGTCGTTATCTTGTTATACGTGCACATGTGTACATGCCTGCATACAGACATTCATACATACATGCATACATACATGCATCTGCACATACATACATAACTACATCAAACCATCAATATAGTAAGCCGTCCGTCCATCCATCCGTACGTATACACAGACTTGTATACGCACATGCACACATACAGGTGTACGTACGTATATAAGTGTATATATATATATATACATATATACTTACATGCATGATTGCATGCAGACATGCTTACATACACATATACCTACCGAGATATCTACCTACACACATGCGTATATCACACACACACACATTCGCGCATGCATGCATGCATGCATGTATGCATGCATGCATACATGCAAACATACATGCACGCCACCATACATACATGCATACCTTCACACATACATACATACATACATACATACACATTTCCATTCATACAACCATATATGTATATACATGCACACATACACATACATACATACATACAGACACACGTACATATATTCGTACATGTATACATACAAGCACTAACATTCTTACATACGTGCATGCATACATGCATGCATCCATGCGTACATGCATACATCTGTGCACACCTACGGCGGCGGCATTGGAGAAGCAACGTCTTCCTGGGGCCCAGACCCTTGCGCCATCCTTATTCTTTCAAGGCGAGGTGGGTGGCCGACGTTTGGCCGCCCATCGGTCGCGAGACCCTGGGTTCCGTATTGAAGGTATCGTTATGCAACAGTTCCACCGTATATACATACGTGCATCCACCCATACATGCATACATACATGTACACGCACACATATACATACAGACACCTATACGTACAACCATACATACATACACATATGTCTACACACGCACATACAAGCACACATACATTATACACGTATGCATTCAGTCATTCATACACCCACACAAGCATACATCCATACATACATACGCAGGCACGTACATGCAAACATGCATGTGTACAATCATCTTAACAATCATATATGTATGTATAATCAACTGTAGATGTCAGTCCATCACTGCATGTGTATATATATACATACATATATATAGGCATGTACCTTTTCTTCTCCATTCCTCGCTCTTCGTCTTGCGTCCACCATCCCTTCTCTACACTCCCTGCCCCGTTCTCCGCCTCCACCTCATTCCATCTTTCTCTGGTGACTTGCATTGCTCGAGGATGAGAGCATCATTATCGGCCTCCCCGACCTCCCACCAATTTGCCAGGACGTGTCTGCACTGCCGCGGGACGTCTTGGCAGCTCACTCGCTGGGAGCTCACGCCTTCCACCCCTCCCCTCCGGCCCAGTTCACTGCGCGGGGGGGCATGGGAGAATACAGGGAGAGGACCAGACGATGAAGGACACGCAGGCAAATGATGGAACGGAAGGACGGATGGGGTAGTGAAAACGGCGGGAAATGCGATGTTCGGGGCAACGGGGGAACGGGGGCGGGGAAACAGGGCAAGGGGACATGGGGCAGGGGGGGGGGCGCGGGGGAGGGTGCACAAGCGGGGGGGACACAAGCAGGAGGAAGCGCACCTTGGCACGCCCTGGCGCCCCTGAAAAAGCGGGGGCCGGCGCATTCGGCTACCACCCGCACGGCATCATTTCGGTAGGCTGTTTCATCAATTTTGCAACCTCGGTGACGGGCTTCACCGAGCTCTTCCCCGGTTTGAACATCCGCCTCGCCACGTTGGCATTCAACCTTAGGATACCTTTCTTCAGGGAGTGGCTGCTGCGCATGGGCATCTCGGAGGAGGGCCAATTGAGGCAACGGCGGCCCTTCGGCCTGGCCCAACTCCGTTCCAGATAGGCACCGGAGACCTCCCGGGGTCAATCCCAATTTTTTCCCCGACCCTCTGGTGCAGGGCCCTCGTTATGAATAGAGCATTGTGGCCTCCATTCCTCTCCTCCTCCTCCTCTTCCTCCTCCTCCTCCTCCTCCTCCTCGTGCTCCTCCTGCTCCTCCTCCTGCCGGCTCGATCGCATCAGGCTTCCACCGCATGGCGGCCTCCTCTGAGCACACGCTCTCGTTCCAGGACGCCGCCGACATCGACGCTTGTCCCACCTTCGCCTCGCAGGAGTCCGCGGGCGGCGCCAAGGGCGGAGGTCGGGACGGCAGGGAGGGGCTCGCTGGGCGTCGCCGAGGGGCTGCCAGAGGCAGGCCCGACACGGGCTCCTTTTCTTCGGACGCGGGCTCGACGTCGCGCAGTAGGCGAGGGCAGGGGCGCGCTGCTGGTCTTGGGTCTGGCTCTGTGGATCTTGATGGTGATCTGGAGCAGTGGAGGAGGCAGCAGGTTCCGACCTTCCCCTTCGCCGACGATGACCAGGGGAGGGACCGCGGAGCCCGACGGGATGGAGGAGGCCGCCCCCCCCCCCCCCCCTGATGCATGGGCGGCCGCAGCGGCGCGGGCGAGTTTGCCTCCTGCTGGCACGGAGCGAGCACGCCGTTCAGCGACGAGGCAGCAGGCCCCCGCGGCGCATCCTGGTCACGTTGGTGGCTTAGGCTCCCCGCCTGCGCGGCCTGGAGCTGCTGGGGCGGCAGGCGCTGCGGCACTCGCAGCTGGCCATGGGCACGAGGGCGCTCCACAGTCTGTCGAGGCGAGCCTGCAGAGCACCAGGCACTGCAGACGGCGGTGGCGACGGCGAGCGCGAGCATGTCCCAGGCTTCCCAGGACACAGTCATCCACCTGGCGAAGCAGAGCGATGCGCGATTCCAGGCGATGGAAGACCGTATCGCACTGGTGGAGGCGAGGATGGACGACCTCGACCGCATGCAGAAATATATCCAGATGCTCAAGGACGAGTTGGTGGAGCTCAGTTCGAGAGTCTCGGTGCCGCAGATGGGCGGCAGCTGGGACAGAGACCCCGACCCCGCGGCGGTCGCAGTCTCGCGAAGACGGCGCTGCCCAAACAGGCGGTCGAGCAGGCCCTGGCCCCGCTGGTCGCTGAGGCGCAGCCCCACGATCACGCGCGGCTGGAGGGCGACGCGGTCTCACAGAGGTTCCTGCTGCGCTGCAAGGGCGCGGCCGCGCTTGCCGAGAGGAGGGTCAACGAGCTCCTGCAGCTCATGCGGCTTGGCCACGGCCAATGGCGCGAGGTGCGTGCGACGGCCCCGACGGGCGCGCAGGTCAACCTCAATCTGGGCACGGACCGCAATCGACGACAGGTCAGCCTCGAGCTGGCGCCCAAGAGGATCAGGCAGGGCATCGAGAGGATGCTCCCGCACAAGCTGTTCATGGAGAAGGATGCGGCCGCGCTCTCGCCCCAGTGGGTTCAGCTGCTGCGAGTGGAGATCGCGTCGCCCACTGCGCGCCCGAAGATCTGCTGGAACGTGGCCTGCATCAGGAAGTTCAACCTCAAAGAGGACGAGCTGGCGGAGGCAGCGGCGCAGGTGCTGCAGCTCGAGGCTCAGGAGTGGTATCTTTAACCGCATGGTGCGCCGCTGGGGCGGCGCGCAGAGTGACGCCGCGGGGGCGGCGCAGCTTGCTTTCTGGAATGCTCGGGCCTCTGCGAGTTATTCCCCGAAGATCTTCAATCGCAAGTTGAACGCACTGGCGGGGGCCAGTCGCCCTGAGAAAGCAGGAGACGCATGCGGGCGTCGAGGCCATGCAGCAGCTGCTTGGCCGCACTGCCCGCGATGTTGCGTGCTTTGCTTCTGCGCCGATTGGTTTGCAGGCGGATGCGGGGGGGGGGGGGGGGGGGGCACTGTCTTCCCTGCGCAGACCTGTGGGGGGCGCGTCGTCTATGTCCCGTCCGATGTTGTTCCAGGCCGTTCCCTCCGAGTCGCGGCGTCGCAGCCTGGCGCTGCGCTGCGCCGCTGGAACGCGCGCAACTTTGGCTTCGAGGCAGAAATGCGGACCCGCCTGCTCCAACATGGTCGCGCTGATCCAGTCTGGGCCCACGCCGGCCCACGCGGCCCGTGAAGTGGTCATCGTCGGCGAATTCGCCCACGGCGACGTCCTCGAGCGGGGCGAGTCCGGCGCCCCCCCGCCCCCCCAGCGGCTCCGCCGTCGGGCCCGCGGGCGCCCCGCAGCGCGCCTGGGAGGAGGCGCTGTGCCTGGCTGTCGAGCTGGCTCCTGCACGTGCGACGCGCTGGCAGCGCGGCCTGCGCCTGGCCTCCAGGATCGACAAAGTCCTGGTCAGCGTGCCGCGCCGTGCCCTGCGCCAGCAATGGCGAGCTGCCTCGGTGCGCGGCGAGCCGGGAGACCTCCGCATCAAGGGCGCGAGCGACCATGCGACGCTGATCGCGTATGTGGCTCCTCGGGCGCCGCGGCCTCCTACCAGAGGCCCCGCGCCCATCCCGAGGAAACTGGCGCTGCCCCCGCGCGACAGGGAGATCGCTGAGTGCGACTGCGAGGAGGTCCGCTGGGAGCAGCTGGCGCCACCTGGCGCCCACGCCGCGTGCGTCGCGACCCTGCAGACTGCGGCCGCGCCGCTGCGGGCTGAGCCGCTGGCGACGGACGGGGGCGCGAAGGGCGCGAACGCTTTGATTTGGCGTCAACTCGCGAGGGCGCTCTGGCGCCAGGACGCCAAGCTGGCGCGCCATGCGTTGGCGCAGAACGCATGGGCCAGCGAGGCGATCGAGTTGGGCGGGCAGGGTCAGCTCGAACGGGCGCTGCTCAAGGACCCCGCGGAGTTCGGGCGCCGCTTCTCGCTGGCTCAGCGACGAGAGGCGGCGGCCAGGAGGCGCGAGGCGCAGTCCGAGGCTGAGGTGGGGTCGGCCGAGGAGCTGCGCAAGCGCATGCTGGCGCAGGCCTGCGCCGCGCAGAGGCGTGCCCAGCTGCGGGCCCCGCGGGGGGCTCGGCAACACTTCGCCGCCGTGGACCCCCCCCCCCCCGGGGCGCTGTCGCCGCGCAGCAGGGCATGGCGACGGCGCTGGCGGCGCACTGGGCACCCGTCTTCGCGCCGCATTGGGGTCCCGCCGTCGAGAGGAGGTGGGCGCTGACGTGGGGGAGTTGCCCGACGCGGTTCGCTACGCCTGCTCCCGAGTGGGGCGAGCTCCCGCCGCCTGGCTTGCGCGTGCCGCGCCAGGCTGCGGCCCGCGCCGCGCCTGCGGCACCTGGCCCGGGCGGCCTGTCAGCCGCCGCCTGGGGCTTGGCGAGGCAAGGCGCGAAGATCTTGCACCGTGGTTCGGTCTGGCTTCGTTCGGGCTTCCCGATGCGATCTGATTTGTTAACGCGGCCATTGGGGTGTTCATCCCGAAATCGCAGGCCCCGTCGGACGGTTCGGCCCACTCGTGCCCCATTGGCGCCACTCGCCCCCTCTCCTCAAGTCGACGGGCCCCGAGGCGATCTCGAGCGCATTCAATGTCAGTTTTGGCCGCGGCATCAAAACGACGGTCTCGCCCTCCCAGAGGGGCTTTGTCCGAGGCAGAAGCTGTCTTTCGAACCTGGCCGTGCTCGAGGTTCGGGCCCGAATTTCGAGCATGCGCGCGATTGACCCCGAAGGCTGCCTTCCCGAGTCGTCGTCGCCTATGCTGGTCGCGCATGATTACGGCCAGGCCTCCCCTCCGTGGCCCACTCTTGGTTGCGGCGGGCCCTGGGGGCCTGGACGGCGACCCTTTTGCCCGCGAACTTGATGCGGTTATCGAAGCTTGTGGCAAGGGGGCTTGCCAGATGGTGCGCTGACGACTGCGGTGCTGTGGCGTGGGGAGCCCCTGGTCGCAAGAACCTGTGCCGCGTCTTCGATGTGTCTGGCAAGACTGCGAACCTGGATCTTAGGCCATGCCAATGTTTTTGCGTGCCGCTGTGGGCCCCCTGCCCACGCGAGGCCCAGGGACAGTTCCTCCTGAGAGACACTTCGAGCGAGTGGGGGCAGTTTCGAGTCGCTTCCGATTTAGAGCATCTTGGATGCAGCATCGACCCGTCGACCACCTCACATGTTCAATGGGCGCCCGTGGTGCAGAAGTACAAAAAGACGCACGAATGCGATTTCTCGCGCGGGGGCGGACACGGCCGCTGGTTGCGCGCTGTATCGTGCGCGTGCTGTTAGCGTCTTGCAGTGCAAAAGTCAGTTGTACGAACTCCCGAAGGAAGAGGCGGCCGACGAACGACACACTCTGCCCCGCCTTTTCAGGGCCCCTGGCGCCTCGCTCTCTCTGAAATGTTTTAGTTCGACTCCCTGCGCTCGGGGGCCCACCGCTTCCGCCGCCGCGGGCTGCGTGGCCCTAGCCGCCAGGATGCGCGCGGCGCTTGAGACCACAACGGTCTGGCGATCGCTGTGCCCGCGGCTGCAGGCGGAGGCGGAGGAGCATCTCCCTTTGGCGCAGTGGGCGGGGTCGGGAGGTGGCATTTGGCCGTGGCCGAATTTCTGGATCGAGCCGCCTCTCGCCTGGAACTTGCGAGTGGCGGCGGAGGCCTCAGCGGAGCTCGGCCCCCTTGCCGCTTCCGCCCGTGCCGGCCTCGCCCTCCTCCGCGCTCGACGGACTGCCGTGTGCGAAGCCCTGGCGGAAGGAAGGCCCTCCCTCCGCCTCAAGACCCAGCGTTGTCTCCAGGCCGGCATCTCCCCTCTTCTCTACCCGTCGGCCTCCTCGCTTATCCCCCTGATTGTCCCTCGGCTCCAGCGCTGGCTCCAGGTCGGGGAGGATGTCTGTGAGGGGGTGGACTGGGCGGGAGTGGCGGGTGTCCTGATGCAACCCCCCCGTCCTGGAGAATGGCAGCCATCAAGACTTGGACAGGAGGATGGGTCACGGACGCACGCATGCCAAATCCTGACCTCAAATGTCTTCTCGGCTGTGAATGCCACGACTGCCTCTCTCACTATGTCCGATGCTCTGGATTCCTTGTCCTGGTTGGGTCCGTATCGGGCTCGAGGGTGGACCCCTCTCTGCCCCGCCCGTTGGCCATCGTGGAATCCTCGCTTGCGAGGCTTCGACAGTTAGCGATTCGTTTCAATCTCCACCGTCTCCTTCTCCAGGCGAGGAGACGGAGTGGTCAGTGGCGTCTGAATGCCGCAGCCTCGCGCGACTTCGCGAAGGCGGCGGCTCTCGCGGCCGACACTTCGACGGGGGAGTGGAGCCGCAGTGTGCGACGTAGGCAGAGCAGGCAGGTGTAGGCGATGACGACGAGCGCCCTCTCGACGCTGCGCCTCCTCCTCCTCCTCCTCCTTCTCCTCCTCCTCCCCTTTCTCGTTTTGTATAGGGCACTGTGGTCTCCATCTCTCCAACCTCTTTTTTCCTTCCCGCCTCCCTCGTCCTGCCTCCGCCTCATCCTCCGCCTCCCCCTCCTCTTCCTCCTCCTCCTCCTCCTCCTCCTCCTCCTCCTCCTCCTTCTCCTCCCCCTCCCCCTCCCCCTCCTCCTCCTCCTCCCCCCTCCTCCCCTCCTCCCCCTCCTCCTCCTCCTCCTCCTCCTCCTCCTCCTCCTCCTCCTCCTCCTCCTCCTCCTCCCTCCTCCTCCTCCTCCTCCTCCCTCCTCCTTCTCCTCCTCCCTCCTCCTCCTCCTCCTCCTCCTCCTCCTCCTCCTCCTCCTCCCTCCCTCCTCCTCCTCCTCCTCCTCCTCCTCCTCCTCCTCCTCCTCCTCCTCCTCCTCCTCCTCTTACGCTGCTCCTTGGGAGGCTGCGAACTGCGCAATTGTGGCCACTTTCGTGGCTCCTGGGACGTCCAGGGGGGCAGAGTCGAGGGGCGCGCGCACCCAGACGGGACCTCGCTGCTCCTCAGGAGGCTGCGAGGTGCGCAACTGTCATAACTGTTGTGGGCAGCTGGGAAGTCCGGAGGAGTCGAGGGCCACGCGCAGAGAGGCGGAATCTCGCTGCTCCCTGGGACGCTTTGAGCTGTGTAATTGTCGCCATGTTCGTGGGCTCCTGGGGGGTCCAGAGGAGTCGGGGGCAACGCACGCCCAGACGGAACCCCGATGTTGCTTGGCAGGCTGCCAACTGCGCAATTGTTGCCTTTTTCGTGAGCTCCTGGGACGTCCAAAGGAGTCAGGGTCAACGCGCGCCCAAACGGAACCTCGCTGCTCCCTGGGAGGCTGCGAGCTGCACAACCGTCGCCACTTCTGCGGGCTTCTGATAGGCCCAGCGGCAATGGATTGCAAGCAGACCCAGAAGTGACCTCGCGGACCCCAGCGATGTTGCCAACTGCACAGCCGTCGGTAGATTCGTGGGCAAGAGTGCCGCCTGTCTCTCAATGTGTTCATTTGCAAAGGCCGTTCTTTTTGAGAGCCGCCGCACGTGGAGAAAGGGCTGGGTAGTGCTCGGGTGTGTTTTCTCAGGCGGATCCCACCAGAGTGGCATCCAGGAGGCCCCGAAAGGACGGGACTCGCCAGGAAGGGCCGACCCTGAGATCCGACGTGGCGACCTCAAGGAGCGATCTCACACTGCGGCAAATCACGACCAGAGCCCCAGACCCCACCTTCCGGCTGCACATCTCGAGCCGGATGGACCCGTGAGGGTATGCCCGTGCCCCGAAGCAGGGCGCGCTCGCACACTGCGAGCAAGAGGAGCGCGACGCCAGGCTCTCAGGATCCGCTGCCTCGACCAGCCCTCCTCCGAGCATCATCTCGGTCTCGGCCCCCTCCATCTTCGGGGGCTGCTCCAGGTGCCCCTGGCCCGAGGTGCCCCCCGCTTCTCGCCCCAATCTGGAGCCCCTGGGGCCCCCAGGGCCTCGCGGAGAAGTGCTCCAAGGAGGCCCGCGGGGGCCCCCTCGGCAATCCCGCAGGGGCACGTGGCTGGCCAGACCGCGGCACCGCCGAGGCACGGCGCGGGAGGGGGCGCGCCGCGCCGCAGATCACGGGAGGCTCGCGGCGACCGCCATAGGGGGGCGCAGGGAGCGTGAGGGGCAACGCCAGGGGGAGGGTGGGGCGCGGGCCCGGGGGTCAAAGGGGGAACAGGTACCCATACCGCTGCCGCTCCCTCGTTCCCCCCTTCTTGGGCCTCCCGGGAGGCCCTCGCCGCCGCCGCTGGACTCGCCTCGAAAAATGGCCCTGCCGCTTCCGGGGCCCACTAAGGTCAAATGACGCGAAGATCGGGACAAAATCCGATCGGGATAACTCGAAATCTCTGAGAATCGGCGGGTTTGGAGTATGTATTGGGCGCCGCGGCCGCTCCAGATCGTTCCGGAACGCTCTGAGAGCGCTCCGGAACGCTCTGGAGCGATTTATCCCGATCCTAGCCCTGTTTTAACGAAGGGTGGGGGGCATCGACCTCGGCCCAGGGGGGTCTTCAGCAACGCCCGAGATCCGGCACGTGCTCAAGTGCGGCCCCGGCTCCGCCGTGGTCATCGTGCCGGGCGGCGCCGCGGAGTCCTTGGACGCGCGCCCGGGCAGTAGCGACCTCACGCTCAAGCGCCGCAACGGCTTCTTCCGCAGGCCGAAGAGGAAAGACCGGCACAGACATAGCCGCTCATCGTTCCCAGACCCCCTCGCGTCGTGACAAGAAGACGACGCCAGGCTTTGCTCCAGTTTCGTCTTCTGGGGGCCCCGGCACCGCGCCTCGGAACCGTCAAACATCGGTTCAGGACGAAAAGCCGGTCCCTGGGAATGTGTGTGGAGACTTCTGGGGGCCCCGTAGCCTTTTTGGCTCAAGCATCCCAGCGCGCCCACGCGCGTCCCGCTTTCCAACTCTCCCGGACTACAGCATATCAATGGCTTCCTCTTCAGGCAATGGCGACAAAAGGCAGCCAGGTACACCTGTCAGGCAGTTGATCAAACAGCATCGTATCCACAGCCCGCTGCACGAAATGGACGGGCTTGACGACGACAGTGGAACAAAGGAGGGAGGCAAAGGAGGGGACAGGACGACAGGGGAGGAGATCATCATGAGCGCAGGTCAGATGGTGAAGCACGAGGGCCTGAGGGTATCACGATGGAGTCGATGGAGAAGCTCTTCAATCTACACCTTCGTCCAATCCAGGCGGACATCGAGGCCATCAAGGCGCACGGTGTCTCCCGGAACGACCTCGATGAGGCGGTGAACCCGCTCAGGGAGGCAGTTCAGAACATCAGGGCCGAGTTGCCGCTCCGGAGACAAACCCATCACGTCCAGCATCGGCACGAAGCGTGACAGCCGCATCGACGGGGACGGTAGTGGAAGCAAAACTACACGAATTGGAAGCTCAAGTTGCTGCGCTACGACTTTCCCCCAACCAGTCCTCGACGGCAATGCCTGGGGGCGAAAAAAACGTCACCTCACCGGAGTCTTTGGGAACCTGGACGGTTTTGTTTCGCTTTCTCCGGCTACCACGTGGTTGAAAGAGCCGTTGCAAACCTGCTCAGGTCCGCAGCCGCACAACATGTACTCCAAAGGGGAATTCTCTAACATCGTATTCGCCGAATCTGGAGATACAGTGGAAAGAGATACTGCCGTTGTTCTTATCCGAAGCGCAGCCTTGCAGCGCGGTGGAAAGAATGTCTGGGCTACCCAGGACAGGCCCGCTGCAGCTCGAGCGGCACGCAATTATTGTTTTAGTGTCAAGTACCTTCTCGAGAACTAGTTCAGTATCACATACACGGTCAGGGTGGTGGACCAAGAACCTTACACAGTACATGTCGGAGGGAAGTTGGCGTTGACCGTGCACACCAACAACAACGACATTATCCCACAGTGGTAGGAGGAGGAGGAGGAGTGTCATAATTGGAAAGAGTTTCAGGAGTCCGCGGGTCTTCGAGATATCTTCGGTAAATGCAAGGGTATCGTTGTGCGCTCTTCGCAAGGATTGAAAGGAGGAGGCAAGGGATCCCACTAGGGACCACGGCCAGTGTCGATCAAATCCGACACCGAAGCCGGCGATGCACAAATAATTCATTACAGTTTCTCCGGATTTTTGGGCGATGGTGCCCATTGCTGTCTCCAGAGCCCCGCGACGGAAGTCACGGCCGTCGTCGGCAACGCGCTGGGCAGCCCACGACAGCCCCCACACGTGCCGATTGTTTGACGGGAGCCGCGGATCAGGGCAAAGCTACCTCCTGGCCAACCCGACTTGGGGAGCAACTCGACGTCCCCAGTCGTTGGAGACATCGCTCCGGAAACACATGGGGATGTGCCAAACGCAGTGGTAGGCCGTTTGCCGGTCAAGTTCTGGCAACATTGAACATAGAAGGTTTAGGAAGAGATTGTAGTAAATTACCTGAGCTGTTTCATCATATGATTCGCCTCGACATCGACATGTTGTGCATCCAAGAGACGGGCATCACAGAGACGTCGCACTTCGTGGACAATGGCTTCGTAGTTCTCCTTTCAGGGACATCGGAAAATCACGATGGGCGCTTCTACTCCGGCGTTGGCTTCATAGTTACATCGCGTGCAGTTTCAGCCGTGACCAGCTTCAAACTCATGTCTGCCAGGTTCGCTGCATTGAGGATGAAAGCGCATGGTGGGATTCTTGTGGTCATGAGCTGTTACGCCCCGCGCGCGGGATATAGTCTTGAAGATCGGCGAGGTTTCTTTGATTCTCTTACGAACGCAAAGCAGCCCGCAGGCAAGCACATCACGACAATCGCAATGGGCGGCTTCAACGCGGAGCTCTTCGACAAAGAGCCGGGAGAAGACACCATCTTAGGCGAATGTGTCTTCAAGTCGAAGTGGTCAATGAAGCGGGAGAGAGCGAACAGAGACTTGTTCATCGGAAACTTGCCAGGCCACCTAGACGAAGGTCGCCAACACGTTCTTCGTTTTGCCTTGCGACCAGTTGATAACGTACTAATCGCCGCGGGGGCAGAAGATGGACGCCGTCGACGCGGAATGTTTTCCCAAATCGACATTTGCTTGATGGATGCCGGCGCGCTGTCTTGCATCCGGAGTCTGAGGCCAGACAGAACCATTCTTCTTGCGACCAGGCATTTCTTCCTGCAGTTGCGTGTGGGGCTGTCTCTGGATACCTCTACGCAGCCACCGCCGCGCAGTATGGCAACGATAACTGTGACCGACGAAGACACCGTGCAATAATACCAACATTGTTTTTGCAGCGCAGTGGGAGCACAGCTGCGTACTCTAACGCTGGATCAGCACGCCGAGAACATACGGCAAGCCATGGTGTCTACATCAGGTGAGCTGGCAGACAGACAGGCCAGGAAGCCCAAAAGACCATGGATAAGCCAATCCACCCTTGATCTACTCATGGAGCGATATCAAATCAGAACCACTGGCAGTCCAGACAAGGAGACAGACCTTACGAAGCGCATCGGGGCAGTTGTGAAGAAAGACAAGCAGCGCTGGCTGGACGACGAACTTGCTGGCGGCACCTGGGCGGCAGCGCGCGGCCTCCAGAAAGGACCCGCTAGAAAACCCGTTCAGATACGCGACGCTGCAGGACACCTGGTGGAGAGCAGTGCGCGCGCAGACACGATGCCGGACTACTTCGAACACTTGCAGTGGAAAGTGACCCACCCCGAACGCGCGCAGACCAGGGCCCTTGAGATGGGCGCCACAATGCCGATCGACACGAACCCGTTCGACATGGATGAGCTCGCCGCGGCTTTGAAAGCCCTCGCCGTGGGAAAAGCACCCGGGTTGGACGGCGTCCATCCAGAACTATGGAAGACGTTATTGGGTTCGCAAGAGGCCCTGAAAAGCCTGATGTCATTGTGCCAGAGGTGCTGGGGAGAAAAAGATCTACCGGACGAGTGGCGCACCGCGCGGGTGGCGCTGTTCTTCAAGAGGGGGGGGCAGCAGCCTCCCAGAGAACTACCGGCCGATATCTCTTCTTCCTATTGGCTACAAGATTATAGCCTGGATGCTACAACGACGGCTCCAGCGAGGCGGCGCAGAGAGCAGACTGATACAGAGGCAATGTGGCTTCCGACCAAATAGAGGCACGGCGCAGGCGATATCGATTGGCAGGCGAATGTTCGAGGCAGCCCATGATTCGAAGTCGCCTAGTCTCGTGGCGGTCCTCTTAGACTGGGCGAAGGCATTCGACAGGATCAAGCACGATGCCTTGCTGCAGGCTTTGCGGAGATTCGGGATACCTGACCGCATGGTGGACATTATTGCCGGCATCTACCGCGAACGGAGTTTCATCCTCTAGGACCCGGCCGGGGACTCCAGCGCGCGCAGACACCGAGCCGGCATCGCGCAAGGTTGCCAATTGTCGCCATATCTATTCATCATAGTCCAGACCGTGATGCTCTTCGATGTCGACGCGCGGATGGTGGGCGAGCACCGGGCAGTGCAGGAGCCGGACTTCATCCCATGCGCTGACTTGCTCTACGCGGACGACACGATGCTCACCAGCAGCTGTGCGGCCAAGCTTCAGACCCTCCTCGATGCTGTCACTGACGAGGGGAAGCGGTAGGGGCTAGATCTGACTTGGAAAAAGACAGTCCTCATCAGGATTCGCAATGTTGTTTTTCTCAAAGACCCGCGTGGGGAGCCGTTGACAGAGGTTGCGCAAGCAGTATACCTCGGTGGTCTTCTCAGCACGGCTTGCACTGCTGCGTTGTAAGGCCTGAAGTCACGCGAAGACTGGGAGAAGTTAGAGGGGATAATGCTGGTCGCACGCGAACATCACCCGATCATGGAAGCTCAAACTCTATCGACCCATTGTGGTACCGAAGCTGTTGTACAACTTGGAATCTGTCTGGGCCCTCCCGGCCGACAAGGACAGATTGAATGCGTTCCACATGCAATGCCTTCGCAAAATCTGCCTCATCCCATGCGCCTACGTCTCGAGAGTGTCGAACCACAGCGTGATGGAGCAGACGGGAGAGCATGATCTGAGCGATGACCTTCTCGAGAGCCAGAAGAAGCTCTACAATTCAATTGCGGCGTTTCCTCAGGATCGCCCACTACGCAAGCTGACGTGCAATCCCAACTCTGTGGCGCCCAGAGTCTGGGATGAGAGCCGCGCGCGCGGAAGGCCCAAACAGCAATGGGCACCCTGCGTCTACGCACTTTTGCCTTGAAAGTGATGCCAGGCCTCGCCCATGTTGTTTTCGATGTCCCCTCCCGCCCCTTCCTTCCCATGCCTCTCTTCCGGCCTCCCGTGTCGTCTTCCTCGCTTCCCTCGCTCCGTCCTCCCCCCACTCCTTGTCGTCGTCGTTGTCCTTGTCGCCGTCGTACATGGTCACGCCGCATGGGAAAACTCAGCGGCCAAAGCCTTGCCAGTGCACATGTGCACGGCAGCTGCGCCCGGATACGTGCGCCGGGGTTCTTCACCGCTTTGCCAGTGCACGTGCGCACGGCGTCTTATCTGCCGATGCGCCGTCGAGGCGCCTGGCTCTTGCTGCTGCTGCGTATTGAAAAACAAAAAAATCATCGGACATATGAGTTCTAGGCCTTTCTCTGTAGTAGATCATTGGAGCCTTGTGCGGTTTCCCTCGTAACTTTGTCCTGAGGAGTCGGGTAATCCATGGGATGGCGCCGATCTGGCGTCGATTAGCGTCCGTTTAGCATCGATTTAGCATCGGTTAGCGTCAACTGGCGTCAATTGGCTTCGCTTCGCACGAGCCAGAGAGATGGTATGGGATGCTCGCATGACTTGCTGCCGGATCCTTTCGTCATTCCAGTCCTCCCTGGTGGCGTCCGAGCGGATGGGATCGGCGGGTCGCGCTCGCGCCATCAAGCGCCACGACAGGTCGTTCAATTATGACCGTCTTCGGCCTCCAGGTGCCTTCGCCGGGCCCCAGACCTGTCAGTGCACGGCGCGGGACGCCGAGCCGGCCCCGGGGACAGAGCGGTCGGGATTTCCCGGGGGCCCCGCACTGAGAACACCAAGACGTCGCACGTTTGGGCACGTGACTCTTCGAGCGTCAGCGCGCGTGGCCAGAGATCCGACGCCGTGATTTTCTCAATACGGGGTCCCCGGAAGTCTCGACCCATTCCGCAAGGCCCGTTTTTCATCTTCGGTCGTTTCTTGATCGGTCCCGAGGCCCGGCGAGGGCCCTTAGAGGCCGAGAGCTGCGAAAAGTTTACGTTCTGATTTTTCCTATGCGCTGGATCTCTGGGTTGGCGGAGTCGTCCTCGTCGTCAGGCCCACCCCCCGGGCGGGGTCCGCTTGCTTTCCCTGCGTGCCACTCCGGGTGGGGTTGGAAGCCCCGCACCCCGAGGGAGGCGGCACTCATATTCTCGCGCAGGGGTGGGTGGGGGGGTTTGCCCAGCGGGGCCAAGGTTCCGCCCCCCCAGTTCATCTAGGCCTCCTGTAGATGGGGTCGGAGTAGATGGGGTCGGAGGATCGCGCCACATCGCCGATGCATCGCCGATGCGGCTCGATGTGCAGCCTGATTTGCGTCACGTCGACGTCGCCGATGCATCGCCAACGTCGACGATGCATCGCCAGTGCATCGCCGATGCATCGCCGATGCATCGCCGATGCATCGCCGATGTATCGCCGATGTATCGGCGATGCGGCGCGATCCTCCGACCCCATCTTCTCCGACCTCATCTAGGAGGCTTCCAGTTCAAGCAGTGGCGAAGCACCCTGGCTCGCCTACAGGCCCACCAGATAATGTTCTGAGAACCTTTTGTGGTCTGCACGACATGTTCTTATCACATTTTCTGGCCAGGATTGTTTTGTTTAACACTTTGTGGCCATGCTCTAAGAAAATGACGTTGTCGTTCTGAGCACCGTTTGGGGTTCCGAGAACGTGTCGTGGTAGGCCTGCAGGAATGCCTGGACGGTCGGTCCCTGCTCAACCAGTGGGGAAGGGAATTGCTCCACTTGTGAGTGTCGTTTAACCGATGCCCATCGCCAGCGGCGCGGCCTGGGCCCGTTGGTCGACATGCCCCCCTAGATAGGGGATATAGGCCGTCCCCTTCGGGTTCCGAAGGGTGTATCCCCAACTGGGGGGTACTGTGGTGGGGGTCTCGAAGGAGATGGGGATGGGGTGCCTCCGTCGCCGCCCCGGGCACCGCCACTGGCACCGCCACTGGCCCTGCCCCTAACGTCAATATCCTTTCAAACGATCCCCATCGCCATCCCCATCCCCTTCGAGACCCCCACCAAATTACCACCCCAGTTGGGGATACAGCACTCGAAACCCAAAGGGAACGACCTATATCCCCATCTAGGTCTAGGGGGGTGAATCGGCCATTGGGGCCCAGGCCACGCCGCTGGGGATGGGGATCGGTTAAGCGATACTCAGCACGCGCTCCCCGCGCCAGGGAGAGGATTCCAGCGCCGGTCCAAGCAATCCGCACGGACCTGCGAAAGCTTATGTTTGTGCAGCTGTTCCTTCTTCCAGCGTTGCGCTTCAGCACGGGGTGAAGCTGGTTCCCGTCTACTCGTTCGGCGAGAACGAGCTGTACGAGGCTCGGGGGAAGACCCGTCGAGACACTGGCTTCGTCCTGATCTGGACATCCTGGAGGCGTCTCGTCGCAACGGCCAGCTCCGCCTCGAAAAGCGGGCCAGGATAGACCGCGGGACGGCTCTCGGGGCCGATCCCGAACGGGCGTGGGCCAGGCGGGGCGCCCGCCGTCGTCTCCGCGGGCCCTCCTCGGAGAGGTCTCCTCCTCCTCGAGGCTGCGGTCCCTGCAGCAGCACATGCTGCGCCTGATGGGCTATTCCATGCCCATATACATGGGAGCAGGCTGTGCCTCCACTGCTGCGCAGGCGACACCCCTGAACCCTGTGCCGCGGCGCCATCCAGTCATCACGATCGTGGGCGACCCAATCGACTGCGAACAGATCGAGAACCCTTCCCAGGAGCAGATCGAGGACCTGAAGGCCAGGTACATCGAGCAGCTGAAGGCGATCTTCGACCGCTTTGCGGACCAGTATGCCCCAAGCGGGCATGGTGACCTGCGGATTGTGAGCTGAACGAAAAAGTTTGCCCTTTATCCTCCCTCTGCACTCGTGCTCCTCCGATGGCCCTCCTCCTTGGGCGCCGGACGCGCCGACTGGCCAGAATGGGATTTGCCGTGAATGGGGGACCCCAGAAGACGGGCCGACATTGGTCCCGGCAGGGACAAGGGCCTGGGTGCATTGCCAAGGCCCGGCCCCACGAGGCGTGGTCGTCTAGGGGAGGCGCGTGTTTTTTTTCAAAGGCTCCGTTGAGATCTCGTTTTGGACAGAGCCTCGCGGTCTTCAGCCTTCCCCCTCCTCCTCCTCCGCCGCCTCCTCATCCGATCATCCTCCTCCTCCCACCTTTCTCTTCCTCTCTTCCCGATATCTCCTCCCTGCCTCCTACATCGGCATGTCTGGCTGCGACGTTTGAAGCCGTCGCCACTTTCGAGGGCTCCTGGTGGAGGCCTGCGGGCTTCCAGATTAGACCTCGCCATGCCCGGTAGGCTGCGAAGTGTGAACTTGTCACCGCTCTCGAGGTCTGCTCGGGGGTTCAGCATCGTAGGATCCCGCCACGGATGATGATGATGATGATGATGATGATGATGATGATGATGATGATGATGATGATGATGATGATGATGATATGATGATGATATGATATGATGATGATGATGATGATGATGATGATGATGATGATGATGCTGATGATGATGATGATGATGATGATGATGATGATGATGATGATGATGATGATGATGATGATGATGATGATGATTATTGGACCTCGCCATCCCTGGGGGTTGTGTGACTGTGAGGCTGTCGTCACATTCGAGGGTTGCTGCGGGGTCTACAGACCAGACAAGTGGCGTTTACTAAACGGCCCTGGGCGTTTATGGAGCAGCCTTGCCCTGTGTGATTCCTTCTTTGGGCGCGTTTGCCAAACGATTTCGCGTGTCGGGGTGGTTATCATGGGGGTGGATGGTTTGATTTCTGCATAGTTCACTGCCCACCAAACCACCCCAACCCAACCCGAAGGCCCCGACTTGCCTTCCATTTCCACTGGGCGGGGGGGCCGGGGACCATTGGAAAAAACACATATGAAGCCCGCACCTCCCCCCCCACACATCCGGAGTTCGGGCGAAATTCGGGTTCGGGTTGGGTTGGGGTAGTCTGGTGGACTGGTGGTCTGGATCCAGATAAGACCTCGCCATCCCTGGGGTGCTGCGAGCTGCGAGACCGCCGCCACCCTCGGAGGCTGCTGTTCAGAGTCAGCCTCACCATCCCTCGAGGTGCGGGCGAGCTGGACCTCGCTCTCTTCCTGCACAAGCTGTGATGAAGTCGGGCCTGTCCCTCTACAGGGGACATATTTCAAAATAGTACAGAATAGTTTGGGGACGATTTGTTTGACCAGTTGTTTTTATATGTCGTCGCATGTTTTGTTTTTTTTCTTATGTTCGTCCAAACTCCGCCTGTAGGGTGACATGCCCGACCTAAAGCTATGAGCAACTCATCAGCCAGGGCGCCAGAACATCATGACGGCGGCCTCGCTAATCATCAGCGAGCTACTTGGAAATCGCCACCATCCTCTCGCATCCCCCCTCCCTCGTTGTAGTCCTCTTCCCCTGTCCTCGTCTCCATGCTGCTTCCGCCGTTTTGGTGTCGTCTTGATTGTGTTCAGTGGGGCGATTTGTTAACGACGCTCGCGTCCAGGGAAGGGGGTCGGCCCTAGAAAACCAAAAAAACTTCCCGGACAGCAGTAAGCATTATAATATTCCTGCTGGGCACGAGGCCCGGCGGCGGATGCTTTGGAAACCCATGCCAAGAATCACCCTGCTTGCCTCCAGGGTGCCCTGGGTTTCTTGGGTTTCGATGGTTTTGCTATGGGGAGCGTTACGTTCCCACACCAAAAACCAAGGGTCGTCCTGGGGTCTCAGGGTTGGGTTTCTTGCGGGAGGTTTCTTGGCGCCGAGCTCTTGATGCCTTGATGCATGTGTGTGTCTGTGTGTGTAGAAACGGGGGTCGGACGGGGCTAGGACGAGGATAAATCCGTTCTAGAGCGTTCCGGAACGTTTCGGAGCGTTCCAGAATGCTCTGAGAAGGCCGCGGCGCCCGATACATCCTCCAGACACGCCAGATCTCAGAGGGTCTCGATTCCTCCTCACCCGAGTTTGTCCTCATCCTGGCTTCGTCTTTTGAGGGGGCGCGGGAGGAGCTGGAGGAGCTGGGCGGCGTCGACGTCCCCGCCTGCCCCGTCAGCGTGGGCCACCCCGCCGACGACCCCCCCGCTCAGCCTGGAGCGCAGCCCCCCGCGCCGGTGAGCGCGGGAAGCGTGCCGTGTCTGGGAGCCCGCTGCAGCGAGGGCGGCCGCCACCTGTTCCTCAACGCTGGCTGCTACGTGTCCGCGGCCGCGTGGGACCCCGGCGGCGCCATCCGCGGGAGGCATCTGTGCACCGCCCGCGGGCCTGTGCAGGAGATCCTGGCGTCCTCCTCCCTCTTCCTCCTCCTCCTCTTCCTCCTCCTCCTCCTCCTCCTCCTCCTCCTCATCCTCCTCCTCCTCCTCCTCCTCCTCCTCCTCCTCCTCGATTCTGTTCGAGCCCGGCGTTTTCGCCGTCTCTCGGGCTCCGGGGCCCTCACGTATCGATCCGCCTTGCAAAACGACGCACGAAGATAGGGCCCCGGGTTCCGGGCGCAATTTTTCACGGCGGCCCAGTTTTTTTCAGGCGTCGGATCTCAGGGGCCATCCTGGGCCCTGACGCGGCGAGCAGCCACTCCCGGCCTTGGCCAGGAGGGGCGGCGACCCAGACAGCCGACGGCCTGTGTTTCTCCACGGTGGCCCCAGCGATGCCGATCCCTTCCCAGAGGCAGGTGGTTCGCCACGAGTCCATTCTTGACGACAGCATGCTTCGGACATCTGCGTGCACCATGCCAGGGTCAAGGATGGCCGTGGCCGGGCACGGTCCTCAAGATCGGACGTTGCAAACAGCACCTGCCAGACCCAATCTGTCTGCGTCATGCCTCGAGCCAGATTGATCTGTGTGGGTCCCAGGTGATAGTTTTTTTATTCGTGGTTTTGCCGATCGGCGCGGGCCCTCGCACTTCCCCTCCCCCTCCCCCCGCACCCTTGGAGTAGATCTTGGCTGCTTCGGGCGCCCGCTTCGAGCAGGTGGAGTCTCCGCTCATAGGACGCACTGCTGCAAACAGTCGCACCAAGCAGAGGTTCGGAGCCAGACCGCCCCTCCTCCCCCTTTCCGCCCAGTGCCGAAACGCCGAATAAACCAGACGCTCACCAGGGCGCGAGACAGGCCGAAGACGCCCGCTGCGAAGCAAGTGCTGGGCATCGCTCGGACGTGTGCATTTTTCTTTCGGCGAGGGCCATCGAGGAGCGTCCTTGATCCTTTGGCGAAAAAGCCACGCACGACACCGCACAAAAAAAACAGGGAGTGGACGTCCGAGCGATGGCGAGCGTGCGACGCCCATGATCTCCGTGGTGGTGGTGGCCTGCAGATGCCTCCCGCGTGCGTCACCACGGGCGCGGCCGCGCACGAGGCCCAGACTCGGGCCGGGCGAAAGGGGGGATTGGGAAAGGGGGAGTTACGAAATTTGCTGCATGCAGCTGGTTTCGGCCTCACCGAGGGGCCCGTTCTTCGATACATAGCCGCCTCCGGCGCCGGGAGGCGCTGGGAAAATCAGCTACGTGAGCTGATTCTCAAACCCCCCCTTTGCTATCCCCCCCTTTCGCCCGACCCGACAGACCCACGACGCCATTATCCGTTCGCAGTGCCGGCCCTCAGAATTCAGTCGGGCCTGTCCCTCTACAGGGGGAAAATTCAACAACAGTTGTCTCATATCATCTGGGGACGATGTTTCTGCGATGGTTCACCGTGTTGGAGCATTTCTGTTACTACTTTGATTTCTCGTCCAAGGTCCGCCTGTAGGGGAACATGCCCGACCTAACCCCAGAAGTCTCGATCCTTTTCCCGGAACGAGTTGATCATCCTGAGTCCTTTTGACGGCCCCGGGGCCCTGCAACGGCCCCCAGAGGCCGAAGGGCTAGCAAACACCGTCCCTCGCGATCCGTATCACGACCCGAGGGAGTCTGGTTGATGGACCTGTTTTCCAGTACCACCACCACCGTAAGTTGGAGGGGAGGGGGTCCTCCTCCTCCTCCTCCTCCTCCTCCTCCTCCTCCTCCTCCTCCCCTCCTCCTCCTCCTCCTCCTCCTCCTCCTCCTCCTCCTCCTCCTCCTCCTCTCCTCCCTCCTCCTCCTCCTCCTCCTCCTCCGTCTCCTCCTCCTCCTCCTTCCTCCTTCCTCCTTCCTTCCTTCCTTCCTTCCTTCCTTCCTTCCTTTTCTCCTCCTCCTCCTTCTCCTCCTTGTCCTTCTCCTCCTCCTCCTTCTCTTCCTCCTCCTCCTTCCACCCTCCAACGCATGGTGGTGGTGGTGGCAAACAGGCCCATCACGAGGGGGTCTGATGAGGCGCTCGCGCTGGCGCTCGCGGTGAACAGCCGCGCGCGGCCCGTGACCTGCACGGCGCGCCGCTGCACCGGCCTCGCGGCGGTGCAGCTGTGGCGCGTGGGCCCTGGGTGCGCGGAGGCGTCGCTGCGCCTGGCGCTCGTGCACGACGGCGGCAGCACGGGGACCCAGGGGAGAGCCCTGAGATCCGAGGTTGCGACAAAATTGCGCCGTCGCCAAAAATTGCAATCCGAGCCCTGGACCCCGACTGTCTGCGTCATTTTCGATCCGGATCGATTTGTGAGGGTCCCCGGGCCCCAAACCTGACGCAAATGCCCGGTGCGAAAAAGCTGCAACGCCCAGATCTGAGGGAGGCCGCTTTCGGCTTCGGCCTCTTTCGGCTCCGGCCAATTTCGGCTCCGTCGGTCTGCTTCGGCTTCGGCTTCGGCCCGTTCTGGCCCCTGCCCGTGTCGGCTACCTGGCCCGAGCTGGAACGGCGGCCGAGCCGAAGCGCGCCGATAAGCCGAGACGGGCCGAAGCTGCGACGTGCCGAAAGCCGACACGGGCATGATCGATCGAAAGCCGACACGGGCATGATCGATCGAGACGGACCGAAGCGCGCCGATAAGCCGAAAGCCGAGTCGGATCGTCGTCGTTTCCTTCTTCACTGTTTTGCCGCTCGGGGCGGGCCCTCGCACCTCCTCCTCCTCCTCCTCCTCCTCCTCCTCCTCCTCCTCCTCCTCCTCCTCCTCCTCCTCCTCCTCTCCTCCCCCTCCCCCCCTGTCCCTTTGCTGTTTTTGGCGCTTGTCTCAAGCAGGTGGAGGCTCCTCCGCTCGGCGAGCTGTTGCAAACCGTGGCGATGAGCCGAGGTATCTGGAGCCAGCGCCCCCGCCCTCCCCTACCGTGCGCCCAAGGTCGAAACGCCGGATATCAGGAGGAGGAAAAACACACCGACAGAATTAATCGTCGATCCCCAGGAAAGTATGGGAAAATATGGGAAGTGGGGGGGAAGACAGAAACCCAGAAAATATGGGAAAACGTGGGGCATCTTTTTATTTGTGTGTATTTGTTTGTGTGTCCCAGGGCCCCTTCACATCCGTGCGCCCAATGTCGAAACGCCGAATAAGAAAAAGTCCACGTCTTTGCCTCAAAGCTCCAACGCTCTGATTTTGCCGACCCCGGCGCTTCTCACCGATCTCGGCCTCTGGTGCTTATTTCTGGCACTTGGGGCCATCAAACATGAAAGGATCCCGGGCGAAAAACGATCCTCGGGAAGCGGTTGGGACATCCCCTGAGTCAAGGGAGGAAAAACCACCCAGACCAGACAATTGGCGTTTATTGAACGGGCCCTGGGCGTTTACAAAAACCCTTGCCCTGTTTGATCCCTTCCCTGGGTGCGCCTGCCCTCTACTGAGATCCGACGTGGCGAAAAAAAAAAACATTTGCAACATTGTAAAAAACACATATGCAACATTGTAAAAAAGCATATGCAACATCGCTCCGGTTCCAATCCTGGAGCCATTTTTTGGCCGTTTCCGGTCGTCGTTTTCTTTTGCCGTTTCCATTGTCATGGGACGTGCTTTTTGGAAACGGTTTTAAAACTGCCCTGCCGTTTCCGGGGCCCACAAAAGCCCTGGACCCCATCTTTTTGCGCCACTTTGCGAGCCAGGTCGATCTGCCCGAACCTGTCCGAAGAAGACGCGCGGCTCGAAGCGAAAGTTGAGCCGCCAGGATCTCAGGGGCGGACCCTTGGCGAGAAACGGCCCTGGGGGAAGCGGTCGGGCCTCCTCCTCCTCCTCCTCCTCCTCCTCCTTCTCCTCCTCCTCCTCCTCCTCCTCCTCCTCCTCCTCCCCCTCCTCCCCCTCCTCCTCCTCCTCCTCCTCCTCCTCCTCCCTCCTCCTCCCCCTCCTCCTCCTCCCCTGCTGGGGCCGCGGACCCAGAGCCCGAGGAGCCTGCAGTGGCTGCCCTCCGCGGGCACGCCGGCGCGCCTGGGGGTGCTGCTGGCCGTGCGCGGCGACGGGTCGCTGTGCCTGTGGAGCGTGCCGCGGGGGCCCTTCGCGGCGGCCTCCGCGGGCGCGCCGCCGCCGCCCCGCGAGGCACTCCGACGTCGACGGCGACGGCGATGACGACGACGACGACGACGACGACGACGACGACGACGACGACGACGACGACGACGACGACGACGACGACGACGACGACGACGACTGGGGGCGCACCGCCGCCGCCCCGCGAGGCGTTCCGGCGGGTGCCGGCGTCCTGGGCGGCTCCAGTCGGAGGCTGCCGTGGAAGCGGCCTTGGCCGGGTATAGCCAGGACCCCAGGTAAGGGGGCCCAGTTAGTAGTAGGGCCCCGGAGCGCCTAAACTGGCCAGAAGCACTAAACCAGGTCTGCCGTAGCCGGTGTTCTCTCGGGTGAGGGCAGGTCCGGTCAGTGGAACTGGGTGGGGGGGCGTCCCCCAGTACACAACACGAAGCCAGGTCCCACGAAACCATTGCAAAAAAACCAAGGATTGCAAAAAAAAACAGGATTGCAAAAAAAAACCTTGAACGAAGGATTGCAAAAAAACCCTTGGGCGAAGGGTTTGTTTGCAATCAAGGGTTTTTTTGCAATCCTTCGTTCTGCCAACGCCCGACCTGGCCACGATCCGATGTCGACGGCTTCCGATTCCGATCGGATTCGACGTCGGGCTCCGCTCCGGGCCCCCGTCCCTCCGTGGAGGCCCGCCGGCCTGCCGAGCTCCGCCGATCCGACCGCTTCCGACCGCCCGTTCGCCCTGTCGACTCCCCTCTTCCCTCCTCCCTCCTCCCTCCTCCCCCCTCCTCCCTCCCCCCTCCTCCCTCCTCCCCCCTCCCTCCTCCCCCTCCCC